ATTATGTAAAGTGACCAAATCTACAAATTATTAGCATTCCCAAGAGAGACAGAGAAATAGAAAACAACCTGGAAAACATATTTGAAGAAATAATTTAATGATAGTTCCCTAATCTTGCTAGAAAAGTAGACGTTCAGACACAAGAAATCCAGAGAACACCTGTGAGATACTACACAAAACAAACATCACCAAAGCAAATAGTCACCAGAGTGTCTGAGGTCAGTGCTAAAGAAAAAATCTTAAAGGCAACTACAGACAAAGGTCAAGTCATCTGTAAAGGGAATGCCATCAGACTAATAGTGGACTTCTCAGCACAAACCTTACAAGCCAGGAAAGATTAGGGGCTTATTTTCAGCATTTTTAAATAAAAGAAATTCCAACCAGTAATTTTACATTCCACCAATCTAAGCTTCAGAAGCAAAGAAGAAATAAAATATTTTTCCAGACAAGCAAGCATTAAGGGAATTTGTTACCACTACATTAACGTTACAGGAGATACTTAAGGAAGTTCTAAACATGGAAAAAAAGAAATGATACCTGCTACCACAAAACACACTTAAGTATATAGCCCACAGACCCTATAAAGAAACCACAAAGTAGAAACAACAAAGCAACCAATTAACAACTTCATAATTGGATCAAAGCCTGGCATATAATTATTAACCTTGAATGTAAATGGTCTAAATGGCCCTACTTAAAAGGCACAGAATGGCAAGTTGAATTAAAAACCAAGACCTATCTATCTGCTGACTTCAAGAGACCCATCTCACAGATAAAAACATCCTTTGGCACAAAGCAAAGGATTCAAGAAAGATCTTTCACACAAACAGAACATGAAAAAGAGTAGAGGTCACTATTTTATGTCAGATAAAACAGACTTTCAGCCAACAACCGTAAAAAAAGACAAAGAAAGGTATTACACGATGATAAAGGGTTTAATTCAACAAGAAGACTTAACTATCCTAAATATATATGCACCTAACATTAGAGCACCCAGATTCTTTGAGATAAATGAAACAGAAACAACATAAAATCTCTGTGATGCGACAAAAGCCATGTTAGGAAAGTTTATATTACCAAATGCCTACCTCAAAAAATTAGAAAGATCTCAAATTAAAGATCTAACATCAAACCTAAAGGAACTAGACAAACAAGAAGAAACTAACTCCAAAGCTAGAAGAAGTGACTAAAATTAGAACAGAATAAAATAAAATAAATAATATAAATAAAATAATAAAATCAGAGCAAAACTGAATGAAACTGAGACTCAAAAATATGTACAAATAATCAACAAAACCAAAAGTTGGTTCTTTGAAAGGATAAGCAAGATCAATAAACAGCTAACTAGATTAACCAAAAAAAAAAAAAAAAAAAAAAAAAAAAAAAAAAAAACAAAAAAAAAAAAAAAAGAGAGAGAGAAGATCCAAATAAACAAAATCAGAAATGACAAAGGTGACATTACAACTGGTCCCACAGAAGTAAAAAGATTCTCAGAGACTATCATGAACATCTCTATGCATGCAAATTAAAAAATAGAGAGGAAATAATAAATTCCTGCAAAGACACAATCTCCTGAGATTGAATCAGGAATAAATTAAAATCCAGAACAGACCAATATTGACTTCCAAAATGGAAACAGTAATTTAAAAATCTACCAACCAAAGGAATCCCTGGATCAGGTTAATTCTCACTCAGATTCTACCAGATAAACAAAGAAGACCTGATACAAATCCTACTAAAACTATTCCCAAAAATTGAAGAGGAGGGACTCCTCTTCACCATATACAAAAGCTTTCACCATATACAAAAATTAACTCAAGATGGATTAAATATTTAAATGTAAGACTTCGAACTATAAGAATCCTAGAAGAAAATCTAGTAAACACTATTCTGGATGTCAGCGTTGGGAAAGAATTTGTGACTATGTCCTCAAAAGCAATTTCAACTAAAATAAAAATTGACAAGTAGGACCTCATTAAACTTAAGTGCTTCTGCACAGCAAAAGAAACTATCAACAGAAACAGACAACCTATAGAATTGGAGAAAATAATTATAACCTATGCTTCTGACAAAGGTTCAATTTCCAGAATCTTAAAGGAATTTAAACAAATCAATAAGCAAAAAACAACACGATTAAAAAGTGGGCAAGGCATGGCCGGGCGCGGTGGCTCAAGCCTGTAATCCCAGCACTGTGGGAGGCCGAGGCGGGTGGATCACAAGGTCAAGAGATCAAGACCATCCTGGTCAACATGGTGAAACCCCNAAAAAAAAAAAGTGGGCAAGGCAGTAAAAAGTGGACAAAGGAACAGACACTTATCAAAAAAAGACATTCATGTGGCCAAGAAACATATGAAAAAAAGTTCAACATCAATGATCATTAGAGAAATGCAAATCAAAACTACAATGAGATACCATCTTATGCCAGTCAGAATAACTATCATTAAAAATTTAAGAAACAACTGACGCTGGCAAGGCTGTAGAGAAATAAAAATGCTTTTAGACTGTTGGTGGAAATGTAAAGTAGTTCAACCATTGTGGAATATAGTGCGATGATTCCTCAAAGACCTAGAACCAGAAATACAACTTGACCCAGCAATCCCATTACTCAGTATATACCCAAAGAAATATAAATCATTCTATTATAAAGATACATGCACACATATTTTCATTGCAGCACTATTCACAATAGCAAAGACATGAAATCAACCCAAGTGCCCATCAATGATAGACTGGATAAAGAAAACTTGGTACATATATATCATAAAATATTATGAAGCCATAAAAAGGAATGGGATCATATCCTTTACAGGGACATGGATGGAACAGGAAGCCATTATCCTCAGCAAACTAACACAAGAACAGAAAACCAAACACCACATTTTCTCACTTATAAGTAGGAGCTGATTGATGAGAACATGTGGACACATTGTGGGGAATAACATACACTGGGGTCTGTTGGGGGTGCAGGGGTGGGAAAACAACAGGAAGAATAGCTAATGGATGCTGGGCGTGATATCTAGGTGATGGGTTCATCTGTGCAGCAAACCACAATGGCACACTTTTACCTATATAACAAACCTTCACATCCTGCACATGTACCCCTGGACTTAAAATCAAAGTTGAAGAAAAAAAGTGGGCAAAGGACATGAACAGACACTTCTCAAAAGAAGACATACAAGTTGCTAACAAATGTATGAAAAAATGCCTCACATCACTAATCATCAGAGAATTGCAAATCAAAACCACAATGAGATATGATCTCATACCACTCAGAGTGGCTATTATTAAAAAGTAATAAAATAATAATGCTGGTAAGGCTGTAGAAAAGGACATGCTTATGCACTGATCATGGAATAGAAAATTAGGTCAGTCTCTGTGGAAATCAGTTTGGAGATTTCTCAAAGAATTTAAAACAGAACCACCATTCAGCACAGCAATCCCATTACTGGCTATATATGCAAAGGAAAATAATTCTTTCTAACAAAAAGTCATATAGACACATATGTTTACCACAGCACTATTCACAATAGCCAGGGCATGGAATCAATCTAAGTGCCCATCAATGGTGGATTAGGTAAAGAAAATGTGGTATATACACACCATGGAACACTTCGTAGCCATAAAAGAGAACAAAATCGTGTCCTTTGCAGCAACATGGAAGCAGCTGGAGACCATTATCCTAAGTGAATTAATGGAAGAACAGAAAACCAAATACCACATGTTCTCACTTATAAGTAGGAGCTAAACAATGGGTACTCATGGACATAAAGATGGCAACAACGGATACTGGAGACTACCAGAGTGGGAAGGGAGGGAGGGGGGCAAGGGTTGAAAAACCAACAATTGGGTACTATGCTCAGTACCTGGGTGATGGGATCAGTCTTACCCCAAACCTCATCATCACACAATATACCCGGGTAACAAACCTGCACATGTACCACCAAACCTAAAATAAAAGTTGAAATCATTTAAGAAAAAAATCAAAATATGTGCTAAACAAAAAAATTCAGAGGAAGATACTTGGTTTCAAATATTAGGGTGGAAATATAAAATTCTGAACAACCAGTGGTTACATATCTTTCATTAAATAAAAAAATAAATATTCTACTCCACCTTTCCATACACCTCGTGTCACAGAGTCACTATTTGTCTTTGCCACTGTTATGACTGTGTCCTCCAAGATATGCTGAAGTCCTAATTCACAGTACCTCAAAATGTAACCTTATTTTCAAATAAGGTTCTTAGGCCAGGTGTAGTGGCTTGTGCCTGTAATCCTAGTACTTTTGGAGGCTGAGGCAGGTGGATCACCTAAGGTCAAGAGTTCAAGACCAGCCTGATCAACATGGTGAAACCCCTGTCTCTCCTATAAATACATACGTTACCTGGGCCTGGTGGCGCAGGCCTGTAACCCCAGCTACTTGGGAGGCTGAGACAGGAGACCTGCTCGAACCCAGGAGACAGAGGTTGCAGTGAGCCAAGATTGTCAGTGCACTCCAGCCTGGGTAACAGAGCAAGACTCTCTCTCTAAATCAATAAATAAAATAGAAGGTTCTTGTACACGCAATTAAGATGTGGTTATGGTATACTTGGGTAGGATGGGCCTCTAGTACAATTTGACTGGTATGCTTATAAATAGAAGGGAATTTGGCTGCAGAGACAAACACAAGAAGAAAAACATGTGTTGAAGGAGGTGGAGATGGGAAGGGATGCAGCTGCAAGCCAAGAATTGCCAAGGACTGATGGCCTCTACCAGAAATTAGGGAGAGGCTAAGAAAAATTCTGCTGAGTCTGAGAGGGATCATGGTCCTGCTGGCGCCTTGATTTCCAACTTCTGTGAGACAATAAATTTGTTTTGTTTAAAGCCACCCACTTTATGGGTACTTGGTTATGGCAGCCCTAGAAAACTCAAACAGCCCTTGTGTTTTGTTACAAACCTAAGTGAAAAATCTAACTAATAAACCCCTGTTAGGAGAGTAACATGGGTGCCAGGAAAAGCTTACCTGCAACGTAGTCACCAAATCCAATAGTTGTTAGAGTGATAACCACAAAATAAATGGCGTCCAGGGCACTCCAGCCTTCTATGTGTTTGAATATGATCGCGGGCAGAGCCACAAAGAGTACACAGCCAAATAGTATAAATATGATCGTTGAGATGATGCGAATCTTGGTCTGACTAACATTCCACTTCTAGGGATGAGACAGAAAGGTGTATGTGTATAATATATGGAGAGAGAGACACACACAGAGAGAGGGATTACTTGCATACTCAAATTTAACCTATAAACTGTTATGAGCAAATTAGCACATAAGCATGTTATTTTATTTTCTTTTATACTTAGTTTTCAATTGTCTTTATGAAAATTAGGTATCATCAATAATAAAAAAATCAATGCTAATAATGATGCTACTTTATCCTCACACAGCTTTATAACAGGTAAAATTCTTTTGAGGGTAAATTACATTTGCCCTGAGAATGCAATTTTAGGTTTGCATCATCATTATTTACATGAAGTGCTTTTGAAATATTTCTATTCTATAGTCATATATACAACTGATTGCAGGCCAAATACAACACAGAACCATATGAAAATAGAGACACTGAAACAAGAATTAAGTATTTATAATTGTTCATTGATAAACATTAATTTCATAAAGACTTTTTTTTTCTGTCACTTCCATCACTTTTTCCTATCATTAATTTAATTGATTAGAGCTTAACCTCCACAGTTTGATTCCAACATGAACCAGGTGAATTCTTTCTCTGTTCTATGATATTAAATTGTACAACTAACAAAGCTACATGATCAACAGGTAAGGATAAGTCTTCAATATTCCTAGGCCATAGCTGTCATCGGAATACCCATTTTTTAAAAATCTTCTTCTCCAATAAAAAAAAAACTCTAAAGTGTAATATATTAAATGAAGTTGGTATATATACAACAGTTTATATCCAACTTTCCATTTGAGGTTAGTTACTATATATTTTAAATCTGACTGGATCTGTCCTATCTACTGTAAAGAATATAGGTCGCAAACCACACCATATCAAAATTGCTGAATATTAGAGCTTGAGAATTTTTAGAAATAAAGACCTATGAAATCACAGAACAGAAAGGGTATACAGGCATTCCTCTACTCAACCATCCTCATCTTACACGTGAGAGTTAAATGACTTCCTGTTTATAAAGATTATAGAAAAGTGCTTGGTACCAAACACTGAACCATGCTTACTGGAATGTCATCACCATGAGGGCATGGAATTTGTTTTTTTATGCACTGTTGTATATGCAACATAAAAAACATTACCTAGCATCTAGGAGGCACTAAAAAATGTATTCAATGAATGAATGAAGAATTTAACATTACCATGTTTATGCCACTAATCTGCCCTCTTGATTAATATAAACAGAGGATTCTTTTAAATAAAAGTACAATACCAAAAAAAAAAAAGGATGAAACTCGAATTTTGGAATAACTGTGTTATTCCACTTGAATGGTGAAAATGTTTGAGATCTAACTTTGATCTTAAATCTGAAACATGACTAGTGCTAAAACTGGAACTATACTCCAAATTGAGAAAACAATGCTCAATATTTTATTTCATCAGTGGAGTTAAATGTAAATATTTTATTGCACTTTGTGTGAAAGTATAAAACATTACTAAATGATGAACAAGATTTATTTGCAATAGTGGTGCTAGAAGTAACAAATCCTTTATAATCTCACCCTCTAACAGAAACAACTACTTTTCCATAATTTTCTTCCAAGAACACAAGCTTATAATCATAGGAGTATTATCGTTTGTCACTTAAAATTTAACAAAAGCATTTGCATTTTGTTGTTGACTACCTTGAAGATCTTCGTGTGTACTACACCTTTGGTTCTACATTGTGTAGATATATTTCTATCAGTGGCATTACTGAATTAAGTTATATGATCACCTTTATTATGTTTGCTCTCTAGATTACATCTTTCCTAAAGGGGCTTTATAAGGGTACCAAAGCAAATTTTAAAATAATATAGTACTGTCAGTCATTTACTACTTACGTTAAGATTAAATTTATATTGCTGCCAACCCTCAGAGTAATCCCTCCCTAGTACCATTATTGAAGTTACACAAATAAGAAAATGTAGGTTTGAAGGGATAATAACCAGTTTAAGAGAATATAGCTAGGAGACACTACATGTGAAATTTGAATCTGGCCGGGCACGGTGGCTCATGCCTGTAATCCCAGCACTTTGGGAGGCTGAGGCAGGTGGATCACAAGGTCAGGAGTTTGAGATCAGCCTGGCCAATATGGTGAAACCCCGTCTCTACTAAAAATACAAAAATTAGCTGGGCATGGTGGCAGGCACCTGTAGTCCCAGCTACTCAGGAGGCTGAAGCAGGAGAATAGGTTGAACCCGGCAGACAGAAGTTGAACCCTAGAGGCAGAGGTTGCAGTGTGCCCAGACTGCGCCATTGCACTCCAGCCTAGGCAACAGAGCGAGACTCTGTGAAAAGAAAGAGAGAGAGAGAGAGAGAGAGAGAGAGAAGGAGGGAAGGAAGGAAGGAAGGAAGGAAGGAAGGAAGGAAGGGAAGGAAGGAAGGAAGGAGAAAGAGAAAGGAAGAGAAGGAAGGAAGGAAGGGGAGGGAAGGAAAGAAATTTGAATCTAAGACTGTTGAATTTCTACTTTTTTCTGTCATATTTTTGAATTTTTCTCGTGCATTAATTTATTCATACAGATTAAGTATAAACATAATTAAAATGCAATGAGTTACATGCTAATAGAGATGCATATAAATTGTTATGGAAACCCTAAGAATTGAATGTCTAATTGTATCTGAGGTAATAGAAAAGGTATAATTTTTTTTTAAATCAAACAATAAATGTATGTAGTTAAATATCTATCATACTCACAATAAATGTATCTTCCACTTTGGCAATTCCTTTTCCAAATATGGTGCCTAGTTGATCTCCAACTCCAGCCAAGAGAAAACCAAAGAGGGGAATTCCCAGTAAGGCATAGATGATACAGAATATTTTCCCGCCTTCTGTGCGTGGTGAGATGTTTCCAAATCCTTTAAAAAAAATCACATTGTTTATAAATGAGTAATAGTTGTTTAAAACATGAACTCAAGATTGATTCAGAAACTTCTAAATATTGCAAGATATCAATTACTGATTTCGACTAGTTAAGAATCCATTTGTACTACATACTTTTAATATGTTCTAAGATAAGATATATAAGAAATATTTCAAAAATATACAAAGTATAGTTAATATTCCAATTACACTCTGATTAAGATGATGAAAACTAAGGTGATAACACACGCAATAATATTTTCATTATTATTCATTGTTATTTCAAAATAATAATATTTTCATTAAACTTATTTCTTTTTACTTTTTTTCTTTACTTCAAATTCTGGGATACAGCTGCAGAATGGGTAGGCTTGTTGTATAGGTTTACGTGTGCCACGGTGGTTGGCTGCACCTGTCAACCCATCATCTAGGTTTTAACCTGTGGATGTATTCGATATTTGTCCTAAAGCTCTCCCACCCCTTGCCACAACCATCTGACTGGCTCCAGTATGTGTTTTTACCCTCCCTGTGTCCATGTGTTCTCACTGTTCAACTCCCACTTATGAACGAGAACACGCCATGTTTGATTTTCTGTTCCTGTGTTAGTTTGCTGAGTATGATGGCTTTCAGCTTCATCTACGTCCCTGCAAAGGACATGATCTCATTCCTTTTTATGGCTGCATAGTATTCCATGGTGTATATGTACTACATTTTCTTTATCCAGTCTATCATTTTTGGGCATTTGGGTGGTTTCATTACTTTAATAATGTAAATAGTGCTGCAATAAACATAGATGTGCAAGCATTTTTATAGTAGAATGATTTATATTCCTTGGGTAGATATCCAGTAATGGGATTGCTGGGTGAAATGGCCTTTCTGGTTCTACATCCTTGAGGAATTGCCACGCTGTCTTCCACAATGGTTGAACTAATTTACATTCCCACCAACAGTGTAAAAGTGTTCCTATTTCTCCACAGCCTCTCCAGCATCTACTGTTTCTTGACTTTTTAATAGTCATCATTCTGACTAGCATGAGATGGTATCTCATTGTGCTTTTGATTTGCATTTGTCTAATGATCAGTGATACTGAGCTTTTTTTCATATGTTTGTTGGCCACATAAATGTCTTCTTTTGGGAAGTATCTGTGCATATCCTTTGCCCACTTTTTGATGGGGTTGTTTTTTTGTTGTTGTTATAAATTTATTTAAGTTCCCTGTAGATTCTGGATATTAGATTTCTATCAAATGCGTAGATTGGAAGAATTTTCTCTCATTCTGTAGGTCGCCTGTTCACTCTGATGATAGTTTCTTTTGTTGTGAAGAAGCTCTTTGGTTTAATTAGATCTCATTTGTCAATTTTGGCTTTGGTTGCAATTGCTTTTGGTACATTAAACTTACTTCTAGCTCTCTATTGCTGATAATCCTGTTTACTACAAAGCTTTTATCATTCAGAACACACTGAGAAGACTATATTGCCTTAATTTAAGAGATATGCTTAAGTTATTTGAAGATTAAAGTTAATAGCAACTTTAAAATCTTTGTATTCAAGTATTTACCAAAAAGCAATATCTAAAAACTTAAAATTATCAAACTTATTTAAAGTGTTGAAGATCTTGAAGCCTTTCAAGTTTTGTACAAGGATATCTACTTGTTACTATTTAAGTATCTCAACTTCACTTACTTTTAACAGCAGAAGTACTGTATACACCTATATGTCTGGGTTAAAGGAGGTACTTCTAGAAGTACATAGAGTACCGCTTTTGATCAGCAAACCTCTTACTGCCATTCATATTAAATTAATTTGGAACTTTGATTTTAGTTCTCTCTTACTCAAAAATGTGAGCAGTTATTTTGGGATTTTTTTTTGTTGTTATTACTTTTTAGTTTAATGACTAATGTAGTCAAAGATTATGGGCCGTGTGATTTTTACTTTTTGGAATCCATTGAGATTTTCTTTGTGGCTTTATTACAGTCAATTTTTGTATTCGTTTCATTGTTATTTGAAAAGAATATGGATGTTCTATCTGTTTGATACAAACAAAAAAACCAAAAAACAAAAAAACCCATGGAGTGAGGGTGAGCTAATGTTTAGTCATTTTAACCCATATATTTTTTCCCTATAAAATTCCATCTTTCTCTTCCTCCTACTCAAACAGTTAGTCAGTTCAATGTTCACTGCTAGTCAACTCATCTACTGAGGGATTGTGTCTAATGTATCTAATGTTCAAGAACTTTGACTTTTTTTCCATTAGCCTGTGTTTATGCCATGAAATAATAATTACATTAATTTCCTTTTCAGTGTTGAACCATGTATTAACTCATTTCCTTGAGAGAAATCCTATACTTGTTTTACTTCTGAACAATTTCTACAAGAAACTGAGAATTCCTAGTCATATCCTCATACTTGTAAACACAACACAATGCTAGATTGGTTGCTATTTGTAGCAGAAATTTATTTTCTAGCCTCAGTGGGAATCACAATTGTTCTGATGGTGTATGGAAGATTCTGGTCCAAGGAGCCCTTGCTGAAGTAGTGCTGGTGAAGTAGGGGAGACTGGAGTCTGGACTTTCATGTAGGTGTGCATTGCACAGGATTTCTGGGGATAGGTTCTTCCAATTCTCAAACCAGTCACCAGTGCACAGCTGCCTCACTGTTTCTCAGGCCTGCTGCCTGCTCTGGGAATACCTGTAACACAGCTCTGTTTGGAAAACACAGCCTGATTCTAGAGGCGAAGACTGGAGGCAGCTACCAAAAGTTAGGATTAGTGGTTCCACAGAACTTGAACTAATTTATAGGCTGACAGCTCTTGGAACGCCTTCTGCTTTTTATTTGGCAACTATGAAATTCTCTGGGGAAATTTTTCTTTTTGGAATACTGTTTTGCTTCTATGGGGGATGTGAGTTCCTCAACTCAAAAAGAGTTCATGGTCCCTCTGAATCTATATGCTTCATAGCATCCCCAAATCCACTCCTGTTGTGTCCCTCACAATACTTTCCATGCCCTCGAACACAACATGGAAATTTTTAAAAATTATTCTAGGCCGGGCGCGGTGGCTCAAGCCTGTAATCCCAGCACTTTGGGAGGCCGAGGCGGGTGGATCACGAGGTCAAGAGATCGAGACCATCCTGGTCAACACGGTGAAACCCCGTCTCTACTAAAACTACAAAAAAATCAGCTGGGCATGGCGGCGCGTGCCTGTAATCCCAGCTACTCAGGAGGCTGAGGCAGGAGAATTGCCTGAACCCAGGAGGCGGAGGTTGCGGTGAGCCGAGATCGCGCCATTGCACTCCAGCCTGGGTAACAAGGGCGAAACTCTGTCTCAAAAAAAAAAAAAAAAAAAAAAAATTATTTTTCTATGTTTCTGTCATCTCAATGCAACTTTTTGGTGATGTGAGGTAAATGCATGTTTATATAAACAAGGAATTCAATCTCTAAATTTACCAAAGTTTTTTAAGATGTTAGATATCGATTATCTAACAGAAAATCTACAGGTTTACAATAAGGTAATCATACATCACGTTGTTTAAACCCATTTTACTTTGGAGCCTAAAATTAACTGATTGAAAAATATCAGTCAAGACAAAACCTAGTAAGAGTTTAGCAGTATATTATGGCCACTCCTAGAACCATCATTCCTTAGTTATATGACCCTGAGCAAATTATTTCCTCATCTGTTAAAAGGGCATATTGTTATTGCGTACTTCATTGAGCTTTAAGTACCAAATAAGGTACTATGTGAAACATGCTTAGTCTATTATACTATATGTGCTCAATATATGTTAGATATACTGATAATTATTATAATAACTATTAATAATATTGGTAGAAGCAAAGATTAGAGGATCAATGTATTTTGCCTCATCAGTATGCAAACTATTTAATAGCCAAATTAATGCGGTCATGATTACACGTTGTTCTTCCACTGTGTTCTGAATGTTTTGTCAAATTATGAATGTCATTCTTTATAAGGGACATTGGCAAAACAGCATGCTGTATACTAAGGCAACTTTTCACATGTAAAAGTTGAATGGATTGGAGGTGTTTGTGCTAAAAAAAAGAAGGGTGAGAGTAAAAACAGGCAGGCTAGCTGATCCCAACTATGTGAATGATTAAAACATGGAAAAGGAAATGCACCTATTCTGATGCTTCAAGGGAAAGAACAAAAGCAATTTGTGCAAACTATGGAAATTGAACTCATGCTAAAGTAACTTCAGCCAAAATAGAATAAATGTAAGAGTCAGAAAGAAGCCATATAGTCACTTGCAATATTTAATACTTTGGCCTGATGGTCTTCTAGGATTCCTTATAATACAAAGTAGTTATGAATCAGTGGGCAAATATACGTGCATAACAAAAGTAGGTTTTCTAATATCTGCTTTTGCCATGGATTACAATTATTCATTCATACATTCAAAATATTTTATTAAGGACATACTATTTGCCAGGCACTCTGGTAAGCACTGGGGCTGCAGCTGTGAAGTAAACAGACATAATCTCTCAAGTTGACAATCCAGTGAGGACACATGCAAGAGACTGACACAAACGTGTGATAAGTGTGTGCTACAGAAAGTACAGAATATTCTTGATGCACAAGATTTAAGAATGAGACATGCTGCACACAATAAGTGGCCCTGAAGTTGTGAGCTGAATCTTAGTAGAAGTTATCCAGGTGGCGCAAATAGTGAAATTAAGGTTGAAATAAATAAGTTCTTTGAAACCAATGAGAACAAAGATACAACATAACAGAATCTCTGGGACACAGCTAAAGCAGCGTTTAGAGGGAAATTTATAGAACTAAATGCCCACAGGAGAAAGTGGGAAAGATCTAAAATCAACAGCCTAACATTACAATTAAAAGAACTAGAGAAACATGAGCAAACAAATTCAAAAGCTAGCAGAAGACAAGAAATAAGACCAGAGCAGAACTAAAGGAGTTAGGGACACACACAAAAAAAAACTTCAAAAAGTCAATGAATCCAGGAGCTGGTTTTTTGAA